CTTGGGAGGGTGGAGGGACAGCGCAGGAGAGGAAGACTCTTAATGAGACAGATTTATTCAGTGACTGAGGTAATTGGGGTAGATGTGTCAGAGACAATAAAGTTGGCACAGGACAGAGCAGGGTTTAAGTACAGTGTCGCTGTGAGTCTCAGGCAACACAACGGCACATAAAAACAACATACATATATCCACACACATGAACATACATACCAACACACTGTTAGATATATTTATATATGTATTTATAGAACAAAATACATGTTGAAAAGTAAATAATACAATGTAGTAGACTAATATATAAACACAATCAAGATATAGATCACAAATGTCTACCAGATTAACTTGTTTGTAAAAACAACCAGGGTACGTATAAAAGGAGCAAAATTAGCACGGGAACAGCTGAATCCACCCTCTCCTAACTCCAAAGAGGGATGATGATGTCCCATCAACAACATACACAGTGCAAAACTGATCCTGGTAAGGTCAGACATGGCTCCCTTCCCTGCCACATCTACTACTAATTACTGGGTGTGAATGAAATTCGTTGCAAAAGAACATATAGACTTTACCGATTTTTTTCTCAGGGTTGTGGGGTTTAGGGAAACTGGTTGAGAGGGTGGAGGAAAAGTTATCATACAGTAAAAGTCCATGTTTAGCAAATAGTAGTCACAAACAAAATTAATAGCACGATTGTTGCTGTTATGTGCTGTCAAGGCACCTGCAACTCACAGCGACCCTATGTACAATCCCTCCGAATCCTGCCCTATCTTGAGCCAATCTCATTGTCTCCGACACACCTACTCCCATTATCCCAGTTACTATGTCAATGCATCTCATCCTTGGTCTTCCTTGCCTATGCTGTTCCTTCAACTTTCCAAGTATGATGTCCTTCTCCAAGGACCAGTCCCTCCTGGAAACGTGCTCAAAGTATGTGAGATGGAGCTTCAAAATCCTTGCCTGCAAGGTGCAGCTTTGTTTCACTCTCTCCAGAATAGACCTATTTGTTCTTTTGGTAGCCCATGGTATGTATGTTCAATACTCTTCCCCAGCACCACAAGTCAAAGGCATCAATTCTTCTATCACCCTTAGTCATTATCTAGTTGTCTGAAGCATAGCAAGTAATTGCAAAGACCATGGCTTGGATCAGGTGCACCTTAGTCTCTAGACTGACATCATTGTTCTTCATCACTCTAGGGAGCTTTGTTGGCATAATGGCAAGAAGCTGCATCTCAAGCCCGAAGGCACGTGCTTTGAGCCCACCACCAGCTTGATGGGAGAAGGATGGGCAATCTCCTTCTGTGAGCTAAGT